GACCAGTGAAGAGCAGGCTAAGCTGCTGATTAAATCACAGAATGTTGCATCTAGAATAGAAGTTAGAGACCTTATAGTCCAACTGGTTCATTCTACAGACAAAACCAAAACAAAGCAAATGGAAGAGGCCTAAGGGGTCATGACTCTGGTCATCATATATCACGTAGGTGGGATCTTCTTATTGAAAAGACAACAGAAACCCTTTCATTGATATTTTGATATCTATAGAAACCTATCTTTATTTAGGTTGTCATTGTTGTGACAGGTCGAACTGTGTCCCTCAAAAGGACATGTTGACATCCCAACCCCTGGTCCCTGTGAACGTGACCTTGTTTGGAAATAGGGTCTTTGCAGATGTCATCAAGTTAAGATGAGGTCATTAGGGTGGGTCCTAATCCAAGATGACTGGTGGCCTTATAAGAAGATAATGTGAAGACAGACACACGGGGCGAGACCCTGTGATGATGGAGACAGAGACTGGAGGGACGCAGCTGTGAGCCAAGGAACGCCAAGCATTGACGGCCTGCACCGGAAGCTAGGAAGAGGCAGGGAAGGATTCTCTCCATAGCTGCAGAGGGATCTCGGCCCTGCCGACGCCATGATTTCAGACGTTAGTCTACACAACTGGAGAGACTTCATTTCTGTTGCTGTAAGCTACCCTCTGTGCGGGGCTTGGTTCCAGCAGCCTTGGGAAACTATTGTACTCTTTATCCTTTCTCCGTTTTTTCACAGATTTAGTTTTCCTCTTCTGCCCCACAGAAAGCTTCTTGAGGGTAGGAACTGGACTTTGCCCAAGTTCGCGTTCCTTCAACAGCTTAGCAGTGCTTAGTCGGGGCTCAGTGAGCATTTGTTGAATTAAAGTAATTGTAGGCTTCCCCAGAGATAATGCAGCTCATTATTTGTTATTATGAACCCCCTATACTTTGCCTGTCAGCTTTTGACACTGTCATCGAGGACATAGAAGAGGTGCCTCTTAGTTGCCAAGAGATGTTTGGATAGAATGAGGAAATAAATACTGATAGGGAAACCCAGGAGTGTACTTTAATATTATTTTAAGAAGAGTTACTAATATTCACTGAGAGTTTGCTACGTGTCAGATTCTGTTCTCCGTGGTCAGCGCACATTCATTGAATCATCATAATGTCTAGGTGAGAGAGATCCTGTTAGACCCAGCTTTGCCGATGAAAAACACTGAAGCTCAGAAGCTGTAAAAAGCAGAGTTGAGAGTCAAACTTGGGCCGTAAGGCTGTAAAATTTGCTCTTAACCACTAGACTATTGGGAAATGCAGACGCTGATCGTTCCTTCCCGCAGAACTGAGAGATCCTCTGCTTTGTGTTTATGGACGATAATGTGTTTAGGTTGCTCTCCGTGTAAACGTGTGTGTGAGAGTGTTGCGTATATATTTATTCTGTGGTATGTTTGTTACCTCCATATATACAGGCCATCAGGTTCCTCAGACATATTTAGAACTTATAAGCCAGGTTTCCTAAGCTGCCACGCTACCTTTTTTTTTTAAGATCTTTTTGATGTGGACCATTTTTAAAGGCTTTATTGAATTTGTTACAGTATTGCTTCTGTTTTCTGTTTTGGTTTTTTGGCCTTGATGCCTGTGGGATCTTAGCTCCCTGACCAGGGATCAAACCCACACCCCCTGCATTGGAAGGCGAAGTCTTAACCACTGGGCCACCAGGGAAGCCCTGCCGTGCTACTTTGAGTTTAATCTTCTCCCTCTGTAAAGCCACAGGTTTTATATTTAAGTGAGTGGGTTTCCACCTTTGTGTGCATTGCAGCACTTAGTAGAGGAATGGAGAGCCTCAGCAAGGAGAGCACTTTCCTATTGTTTTGCTTTTGTACTTTTGTGGGGTGACCCTTTCGTATGAAAGAAAGTTTCTCTAATGAAAGAAAAGTTAGATTCCCCTAATTTAGATCATTTTAGTTTACATAGGAGGATTGATAAATAAACTTCTCCCTTTGTTTATATAAGCCCAAGTCCTGAAAAGACCCAAGAGCAAAGTTATCAGAGAAAGGAATGACTGTCTGGACGCAGTTGGATTTTAGGTGTGTGTGATCCATGTGTGACCTTTATCTAGGAAATCATTCTCTCTGGCTTATGTGACATGTTCATCTTTTTAGGGGCTCCTTCATCATGACTTAATGACATACGCTTATTGGGAGAAATTCAGTGACTTTCAATATTTTTTATTTCAAGAGAATCATATTAAAGTTTGATTTAAAAAACTGGATGACACTGGAGACATGGTGCAATGTCACATTCCCTCCAGCTGCCTCTGGTCCTAATAAAGAATTAGGCTCTGTCCTAAACCTAGAATAGTACTTTGCAGCCCAGAGCTACAAAATATTTCATAAGTTGTATTCTTGCGATAGGGAAGAAAACCTGTCTATATATCCTATGAAAGGATTCTTATCATGGCTTCATCTTAAACCTGGATGAATGGTCTACTCTGAATTCTATTCTGAAATTTGGGCCTGAAAGTTTGCCACAAATAAAGCTCACGTCAACATGACCGTAGAGTTAGGACAAGCCAGGTCTTGAGAGTTCTGCTGCTCTATGTGATCTTAAATGAGTTACTTAAGTTTTATGTGTCTTGATATCTCATGTACATTCCAGGTATAATAACTCCTTCATAATGCTAAGGATTATATCAAGTATATATGAACAAAACAAAGTTACTTTCTGATTATACCCTATTTCATGAAAATAGCTATATGTTTTCACCAACTTTGGAGGGGATGTCTGAAATGGTTTTATTAAAATATAGGCCACGTAGCATATATGCCATTTACATGGGGGACCTAAAAGGACACCTCAAATGGGTGGGTCGTCATTCTTCAGAGTCGCTGAAGCAGAGGGAGAAAGTCACATGACTGTCGGTGATGCATTTGAAATCCCCTGGACAGCTGTGGATCTAGTCACCCTGAGGGCAGACTCAGGAAGGTAGTGTTGATCTAGAATCAAGCTGCTTGTCACAGCAGAGCCTCTGTGTATCTTTTTTTTTTTTACATCTTTATTGGAGTAGAATTGCTTTACAATGGCATATTAGTTTCTGCTTTATAACAAAGTGAATCAGTTATACATATACATATGTGCCCATATCTCCTCCCTCTTGCGTCTCCCTCCCTCCCACCCTCCCTATCCCACCCCTCCAGGCGGTCACAAAGCACCGAGCTGATCTCCCTGTGCTATGCGGCTGCTTCCCACTAGCTATCTACCTTACATTTGGTAGTGTATATACGTCCATGCCTCTCTCTCACTTTGTCACAGCTTACCCTTCCCCCTCCCCATATCCTCAAGTCCATTCTCTAGTAGGTCTGTGTCTTTATTCCTGTCTTACCCGTAGGTTCTTCATGACATTTTTTTTCTCTTAACTTCCATATATATGTGTTAGCATATGGTATTTGCTTTTCTCTTTCTGACTTACTTCACTCTGTATGACAGATTTTAGGTCTATCCACCTGTGTATCTTGATTAAGAATCTCTGCAGCTGTTAGAACTTACTTATTAGTTATTGGTAATTCTCCTCAACAACTGGGGTGAGTTTCTATATAGAAACCTATATGGACTATTTCTCATAGTGCTCAACACATAAGCTAGTCCCTGGGGGATATTCTCAATCCCAGTCCTTCCCCATCCCCGCCACCCCTCCTCCCACCAAAAGCATGGAGGGAAGTCACTACTGTGTTCATTTTGTATGAATTGTGACTCAGTCATTTCTATGGACATAGCCCAGTCCAACAGCAATGGTTTATTTTTAGTTTGGGCTGCCCCAAATTAAAATAACACCTTCCTATTGGCAGATAATTATAGAATAATTGATATTTTATATTTAAATATTTTCTGTGCTTAAGAGATAAATTAGTTTTATTCTCTAAGATTTAAATTTCTCTTTTGATTTTGATGTAGTAAGTACCATAAAAAGTCAGTCTACTGATGAAAATTGCACTTCATAAACCAGGTGTGAAAATTTTTGAGTACGGTTTGTCTTAGATTTTTCACTTAAAATAACAACTTGTTCTCGAAACTTGACACCTTGAACTAACTTAACAGAGAATGTTTTCTTGTCAGGAGTGACTGATGGAATAGCAACTTTTCTTCTGCTTTTACAGTAAAAGAAATTGCTCACCCAAACATATAGCCGATTTTTCAAACATCCACAAAGGTGTGAAAGTATTTTTACCCTTGGAATTCCTGATGCCACTGTTTAAAAATACAAGTGCCCTTATTGTATATGCCTGGTCTGTTGAATGTTTGTGTTGTGGACCCTTATAAGGGGGCTCATAATCACTCAGAAGGCCTGAAGCTTTAAACCGGCCATGGAGAAAATCTTCTCTCCCTGTTCCTGCCTTGGCCCATAGAGGAGGTGACTTCCACCAACCTCTGCATGGCAAGGACTGTTCCCATCTTCCCTGAGAAATATCATGGGCCCCAAAGGACAGAGGAAGGAGAAGACTGAGAAGGTGCCCCGCACCTCTCAGGAGGCCTCACTTTGTTGAGCACCTGCCCTCAGGTATGATGCTCAGCTCTTGTGCTCTCCTCAGTCCACCCAGCCAGGATGTCCACGTAGGACAGGTTTCATCATTCTGCCTCTATCTGCAGCCTAAGGTCCAAGACATGTTGCTCAAACAGGCTCTTACCTGAAAGCCTGTCTTACGGATTAATGGGCATTTTCTTGTCTGTTAATTAACTGACGTTTTGTTCCCCATTTGGTTACTGATCTCTTCACATCTCTTCATATTCAGGCAGAATTCTGAAGATGAGGGCTGAGTGGTGGGATTTATTTTTATTCCTAATTTCAAAGGATAATAGAAGTAGTTCCAAAATGATCCTTGTAAATTGTTTTTCTTACTGTTAAAAAGCCCCAAAATCCAACGCCTGCTCTTCTTTGAAGCTACGAAATGTTATCTGTATGAATGTAAAAACCATTTGTTTTGGCTAATTATCAATCTGTCTCAACAACAAAAGAAGGAGGATGACTAGAAATCCTTTTAAATGCTTCTTTTATTTCATTGGTTGTACATTGGGTGAGTGAACTGAATATTACAACCAAAACATAGAATTGATACAAATTAGACTCCTGTTTACACTGTAAGGTAATGAATGAGGGAATTCTTTAAGTGTTACAGAAAGATTTAGTAGAAATGTTACCAGTGATATGGCTCAAAGAATATTTAGGTGAAGTGCTGTTATATCCTGAAAACCAAGAGTGAAATGTAGTTTCCATACAAGTGGCGAGTTCATCTCTTAACTACAGTATTTGTTGAATTGCTATCATCATGTCTTGGATATTGGTGATTTTGTTCTGTAATTAAACAAAGCATTTAAGATTTATTCATCATAGTCAGACTTCTGAATATAAACAAACTTTTGGCAAATAATATTTATACAGAAAAATAGTTTTAGATCCTCTCAAATCCCAGAATTATTCTATAAAATTACATTATAAATAAATAAAAAGCAAAATCTGTTGTACATATATTTGTACATCTATGCATTTGCCTTGCCTCCTCCTTATTGTAAATGGCATATTTATGACTCTTTGCATATTACAATCACAATTCTGGAAAACGGATATCATAGTAAAAATACAGTCTTCTATATTCGCTTGGGGGGTATAGGTGATGTTTCTGATGCTCCATTATTAAAGGGCTGAAAATAGTTGTGTGCTAAAAACTTTAAAAATCAAAATCATGAAACAAAAGAAAAAAAAAGACAATGTTAAAATAATTAGTCTACAAAAATATTTCAGTGATTCCCATAATTTACCTTTTAGTAATGTATACTATGTTTTCAATGAGTTTAAGTGAATTAACAAAGAAAAAAAGAAAATAAGTTTGAATGTTTTAGGCAAGTTGTAGCATAACTACATTGTTATAGCTGAGAAAATTACAAATATCAATAATACATAAAGATGAAACTACCAAAGAAATACAAGTTAGATACAATACTTTCCCACAAATTAAAACAAATGCAACAATAAAAGCACTATGTAAGATTACACTTAGAATGTGATTTTTTTTGATAGGGTTATCAAATCTACGATATAAGATAAATAGTCATTAGACTTTGACCAACATTAATTAAAATGGCAGATTTCTTTTTCCTCAAACAAAAATGATATGGTTGGTGCATCTAGTTTTCAGAACAGGCGGTGGTGCCAAAATTTAAAATATTTTACATTCAATCTCAAAAGTCAAAATACTTCAATCACTAATACGTTCACAAAGAAAATGGATGTTTTAAACAATTACACATAATAGTAATTCATAACAGCTGTTTCGTTTTTTAAACAATAATTTAAAAACTATGTAGGTACTGTATAGGCTATGTGCAACATATAAAATGTGAAATATGAAATATTTGGTACGATAGTGCTTAAAATAAACTTTAAAACAAACTTTCTGAACAAAATTTAATTGTATCGCTATTACCTTGAAGATCAACCAAGTATTTAAAAAAGTAAACAACATTAAAATATGTTTCATCCATATATAGTATATATATATGTATGTGTATATATATGTATGTACTTGTATTAAAGTTTTTTATACTTTTGAGACATAAAATATGCTTTAAGGTGAAAGAATTAAAAGAACTATTTTTTTCCATGCTGTAGTCAGTTACAACCTTTTAATCCAACTTTTGAAATGCAAAACAGTAATGGATTTTTTAAAAAGTGAAACTATCTACTTTTTGTTTACATAGTAATTTAGATTAAAGTCACAGTCAAATTTTCAGTGACTAAACTCAAACGCACTTAAATTAGAATATTATACAGATCTCCTCACCTACAGCTTCCTTGTTTGTCTAGGTTTTTAGTTCAGAAGAGTTATTCTGTAACAGGCAACCGGATGGTGAGTTTGAAAGACTAATCCTTTTGATTAGACTGTTGGCATGGGCCTCTCATTCTTGTCAAGCTGGATGAAGTCTGGCAAAATCTAGGCACTTCTACAAAGTCTCTCTTATAAAACAATTTTAAAAATATACTTGTAAAATAATACCTTCAAGACTTTGTTTGGTGGGGTATGAAGATCATACCGTGCAAAGTTTCTTTTTCAATCTAGTTAATGTTATTCTAGAATCACATGATTCAATGCGGCATCTCCAGGCAAACCAAATACCACACTTTGATGTGTCCCCAGTACTTGTGCTTGAATTTCCGTTCAAATTTTAGACCTGCAGGACAGGTAACGGTTTTACTTCACTTCTCATCTTTGCTGCAGCATTCGTGTTGTCAAGAAGTGAAACATAGCTTTGATCCAGTAGGTAAATGAAATGACAGTAATTGAAGTTAGAATCGAACCTGCCCTTGGAATACGTTTTTTTTTTTTTTTTTTTTTAACTAATGCTAATTGTTTATTGCTAACTTTGAAATATTCTGAGTCAAAATGAGTAAATTGGTTGGACTTTCTGCATCAGCTATAGTTATGGAGATAAGACAATATTCCTAGGACAGAAACTATGTTTAGAAACCCTTTAAAAGTAAACTTTATCCTTTATGTCTTTAAACATCACAGCTGGTCTCAGGTAGTTAACTATCTTAGGTTGGAATATACTAAGCATACCATATTTAATACTCATATATGATATAGCAGCACTAGCTTCTTAGAGTTGTGGTCTGTCCAGAAGAACTAAATCTTTATTTAGCATGCAGTTTGTGGCAATTCTATTGAGGAGGAAACAGGATAGTATGTACAGTAACAATGTTTAGTTATTCTCAATGCAGATTCTTGGCATTCCATTCCGTTTCTGCTGATTATTTCAGAATTATCTGTTAAAGAAAAAGACAAGTGTGATTTAGACATCCTTCTTGAGGGAAGATAGCTAGTTTAAGTTTTACTCTTTGAAGATAGACATTTAAAAATAGGAATTTTCTGCAATTTCTCATAGTTTTGATGCAATTATAATTTTGCACAATCCCCACCCTTCATGCTGAAAATGTTTACACTTAAGCACTTCTGCTATGTGGCCACTGTAAAGAATGATGATTCAAATGCACACTATTTTCTGTAAAACTGTGACTGCATATATATGGGCATGCAGTGTGTTTAGACCTTAATCTCTTTTCTTAGTTTTGGCTTCATATCTCTTTATTATATGTTCAATTCTCGTTCAATTAATATTTGCTAATGTGATCAGGAAGTCTAATCAAAGAATTAGTTTGTACGTGAAAGGTTCTTTGTAAAGATTAAATATAAATATTTAAAAATGTGTAACAAATTAAGTAATACTTATCTATTAACTTGCATTTATAATTCAAAGATATGTTCCCATCAAAAGTAATTTTGTTCCCAAGATACAATAACCATTAGTTTCAAATTCAGGAACCGTTTAAATGTCCCATATTAAAGAAAAAAGAAATAACATTCTAATAAAGCTGTCAAAAACAGTCTTGATAATTCCAGAAGCACAGATAAAACTAAACTATCAAATGCAAGTTTGATATAAGTTCCAACTCCATAACTTTGCAAAGGACAGGGAGTTTGCCCTGTGTGACCCAGTCAACTAAATGTCAAGCTTAAAAGCCAAGCTTTTGACACATTCTAACAAAAATATTTATTCTTTGTGCAATGCTTTGACCAAACTTTGTGCAATTAATAAACAAAATGTTTATTTATTAAATAGCCAAGAGTCTTTGTTTTAGAAATAACCAGTAAATATTCTTTATGGTCAAGGTCAGCCAATATTCCTACACACTGGGATCCAGTTCCCAATAAAAGCCTCATTTCTACAAGTATGATTTCTTATCCCATTATGTTAGAATTTATACATGTGGATATTTTTTACGTTAAGTGGGTATTTCTGCAGTTAATATAAAACAGTTTTAGTATATACACTTAATTTCTCCTCTGAAATAAATATGAGTATCCTTTATTTTATTGGAATATACAGATATGTATGGAATTGATAAAAATAGAGGAAGAATTCATGTGTGTTAAATATTTATACTAAATGGAAACTCAAAACTCTGGATAAGATCAGATCATTTTTTAGTTTTTCAAAAAGTTCTAGGAATTTAAAATTGGGAAAAAATATCCCATGTACCGATATACAAATAAAAATAATGAGATATAATGGTTTCTATGTAAATATTATCGTCATACTGTCTTTGAACAGTCATTGCAAATAGCTAACATTCAGAGTCTTCAGATGTGGCTATATTATAGCTTCATTTTTAGATTTAGATATTTGATTATTAAATAGGAATTATTCTATTTCATCCCTTAGCTTCAATCTTGTCTGTAAGGTTTCCAAATAAGAATGTGCCCTAGGAACATCAGATCATGTTTTTCTTTTGTCTTTCTTTTCACTTTAGCAGAAGTCTCTCTAAAATATTTATGGAAAACAAACTTGCAATTTCTTAAATTGATATATATAATAATATATGCTTTAGAACATATTCACATTCTTGCTTATTAACTGAAATGAAAATGCCATATAGGATGAAAATTCCCAACCACCTGGAAAGAAAAAGTATCCTACAGAGAGCCCAGCGATGGGCAAATCTGTATTATAGAAATTAGTTAACAATGCTTTGGACTTGAATTTGGCAAACAGACGTGTCCGACCACCCAGATGTAACTGAACTGTAAATCAGCCCTGAAGTTAACTAAAAGCATTAACTGGGCTCACCCAGACTGCTTTGCCCCTCTGCCTCAGCCTACACACCATCCGTTGTATGGATAAAGACGTAAATAAAAATGACCTCTGGTACTACTGAACTCTCAGCCGCACTGCTTCCTGGCATCTAGGCCAGAAAACTCTGGCCATACCCTGGTCTATGTGTTGGGCTGTCTTGAGGACTGTATGTGTGATGTTAAAAAATGAATTACACCCCCGCCAGCTGTGAGCTTCAAGAGGTTTAAGAGATTTGATCTTAGATGGTAGGAAAGCTATGGGTGTTTTTTGGTGGTAGCATTTTTCTCAAAAATACCGTTTGATTATTAAATTTTTTCCTGAGAAATATAGCTTGTTGGGACAGTCTGAATTAAGTGTACTCTGGGGTGAAATACGTTTTGGAAATATAGACAGATCAGGAATGCAGATGAGGACCGGTTCCCCACTGAGAGCCTCTTGTTGATGTTAGAAGGCACATGACATTACAGGTCATAGGGCCCACGGGGAGGGGAGGACAGTTTCCAGCAGGATGGAACCTCTGGAGGGAAGAGGAGGGCCAGGTGGGCGTGTGTCAAGCGGGAAGGGTGTGGAGAAGCTGTTTTGAGGGAAAGAGGGCTCTTCTGTCTAGTTTTTGCTATGGCTTTTCTTTAGTCAGATTATATTTTTAATTCACATCAAAAGAACATAATTTAAAATAAGAGGAATAGGTAATCTTGTGTTTCCCTGTTGCCTCTCTTTGGAGATTCTCTTCTGCACCAATTCAATATGAAATAGGTTCTATATATCTTCTTCTTCAGCCTCCATTGTAATTTCAGTGGCCAGGAGGATCAAAAGCTTCAGGAGGGGCCTTCCCCGGTGGCGCAGTGGTTGAGAGTCCGCCTGCCGATGCAGGGGACGCGGGTTCGTGCCCCGGTCCGGGAAGATCCCACGTGCCGCGGAGCGGCTGGGCCCGTGAGCCATGGCCGCTGAGCCTGAGCATCTCGAGCCTGTGCTCCGCAACGGGAGAGGCCACAGCAGTGAGAGGCCCGCGTACCGCAAAAAAAAAAAAAGCCTCAGGAGGTACCTGAATATTTCAATATAGATACAAAATTCCTAAAAGAACAGGCTTATATGTGGGCCCAGAACATGGGCTCCAAGTCTGATATTGACAAGTCCTAATCCTGAGCTGGTCTATTTTAAAACAATGGTTAATTAAACCACAGTTCACCAAAGTGACCTCTATAGACTGGCTGTCAGTGGCATCCTTCCTGCCCTGCACTCATCAAAACTGAGGCTGATATCCCAAATTCCTTCCTCAACGTCCAGGCACTGCAGCCCATGCTTTATTGGAAAGGTCAGTCGAAAACTCCCCTGGGGACTGCCAGCATATGTAGAGGTCAGAGAAATAGCTACTACACTAGGTCCCCTAAAAGTCCCCTCCCTGAAGCATCATTATTGTCTCTGTTTTAACTTTAATAGATACTCCCCTGATTTTCCAGGAGGTACTAAGAAATTTTTATCAAAGCCTTAAGAGCTATGTCAGTATTGCCGGTCATATTTCACAGACATGGAGAAGGCAGCATGAACAGTGTCAGCTGGCTTGCACAATATACCAAGTACTTGTGCAAACCAGCATGAGCTTAGAGATGTTAGCTCACTCTGCTCCCTGGCCTGGGAATCCCCTCCAGGGTGTAGTGACAGTCTGCGATGGGACCAGGAGACAGTGATTCCAAAGAGCAGGTCTGCGCCTCTCAGGGTGCCAGTGGAGGTCAGTGCTCAGAACCCCTCTGGGAGCTTGGGAATCAGGGAAAGGCGAGGCCATGGGGTAGGGCCTAAAGCAAACAGAGCCTGGAGCACTGGATGAGAGGCAGCAATGACTGTGTGCAAGAACCAGGTGCATAGCAACTGCTGATGGACCTGTGCGCTGCTAGGCTCCCTGCTAGGTCATCCCTGCCTGGGTGGTCAACCACATCCTACCCTAGGCCTCCTCCAGATGGATGCTGCAAACATGTCTGCTTATGACAGCAGAAGCCCCTACCCAATCAGAGTTCCACCGCTTCAGCTTCTAAGGAGCCCTGGCAAGCTGTATCATAGGAAAGAAATCGAATATACTGAACAAGTTGTATTTCTGTTCATCTCTCTGATAGACTAGTCCCTCAAATAAGTATTATTTTCTATAACAGAATCAAGATGAAGATCGGGATTAAATTATTAAAATAAGATTCTAGCTAACCTTTTATGGTAAATCAAAATCTTGAACTGAAAGCATTATTTTCAATTTCTTTTTCCACTAAAAGGAGAACACACAAAAATGAGAATAGCTGATGCCCACCAAATCGGTGATTCTGTTTTTAAGACAAAGACACACTTGATCTCAAAAAATGACTGCATTCATAAATCTTCAGTGGACCCTCTAGTTTTTTTTTTGTGTGTGTGTGTGTGGTACGCAGGCCTCTCACTGTTGTGACCTCTCCCGTTGCGGAGCACAGGCTCCGGACGTGCAGGCTCAGCAGCCATGGCTCACGGGCCCAGCCGCTTCACGGCATGTGGGATCCTCCCGGACCGGGGCACGAACCCATGTCCCCTGTATCGGCAGGCGGACTCTCAACCACTGCGCCACCAGGGAAGCCCGGACCCTCTAGTTTTAACAAGAGTGTCTGCAGGCAAAAATATCAGTTGGCTGCAACAGAGTCTATCAAGCAATGAACATCTCCTTCAGGTGGTTGGATTTAAGAATGTAAAGATTCTGCTTAATCCACATCTGTAAATTATTCCCATATGAGCCCAGGACACAATGAGTCTCATTTTTATTTACTGAAGACAAAATATGAATGGCCTCAAAGAACATCAAATGGGTTGTTTCCCCACCAAATGTGTTATGAGCAGCCATTTAATAACCCCTGCATCCCCAGTGAAATGCCTACCATTGACTCACAGTGCAATGGCAGTCAAGCTCATCGCAAAGAGGACCGGGTTAGGCACTGCCTGAATACTAAGCCTACTGGGGCCAGGCAGGAAATATGCATAAGTGGGTGGATCAGCCTGGAAGTGTGGCAGATGGAAGGGCCCGTGCCTAGAAGGAATGGAGCAGCAGGAACTCACCTCCAGCCACCTGTCACCTGCAGAAGCCTGGGCTCTATAGTGCCTGGCCTTTCCATCTGCCAAAAGAAGCTG